CTTTGTTCTGCTTCTCACGTGTTGCTCTTTTCACCTGAGTTTCCTGCCCACCCACACACCTGATCCCAGTTTTCTTCTCAGTCAGGATTTAAACCTGCCATTATTCATCAGCTGCTTGTGGGAAACTTGTGGGATGCTTGTGTCCCTGTTGTAGTGTTCCAGTTTAACCTGAGTACCTGTACCTGTTCCTGCTTGGTTGCCTGCCTGCTCTTTAGCCCATCTGCCTGTTTGTACATCCATCTGCTAGTGTGACTGTTTTTCACTGTTAAAGAGTGAATTGGATCCTGTGTTCCTGGCTTCAGCGCAGACACTAACTGTGTGATGCTAAAACACTCTACCTACAGCTGAAGGACATCGCAGAGTCATCACTGAGTCAAGCTTTCTCCGGTACACATTTCATTTGATCCATTACTGTTAAAAAATATATTTATGAGAGTCATTAACATTATTAGTGTGGAGAAAGCACACATGGTTGGTGTGAAATCCCAGTGTTGTTCCAAATGTTAACTAATGAAGGTGTCCACATTGTGCTAACTGTGCATTAAGTACACACAGTTATTTAGAGATCTGAACATGGTCATCTGCCAAGTAAAGCCACAAAGATTTGCACTAGTGATAAAAAAACATCTTCATCAATGATCTTCCACAAATTTGTTCCGACTGTTTAATTCATTTATATACAGATGACACTATAATATACTCTTCCAGTTCTGACATCTCACAAATCCAACACTCCCTACAATCTGATTTTAACTTAGTTCAGAAATGGTTCTCTTCCAATAAGCTTCTCTTGAACAAGAATAAATCTTATAATATGTTGTTTTGTACTTGACCTAATTCTTTGCCCTTAACTAAAAACTGGTCCATTACTTTCCTTGATGGAACAGCTCTGACAAAAGTTGATGAATTTAAATATCTTGGTCTCTGGCTTGATTCCCAGCTCTCCTTCAAAACTCATATCAACTCAATCTCTCCAAGAAAATATATTGTCAACTGAAATCTCTCTATCGACATACACTGTTTCTCACAACAAATCCGTAAAAGAATCATAACTCAACTGATACTTCCATTACTTGATTATGCTGATGTGATCTATGGGAACACCTCAGAATCAAATCTCCGTCCTCTCACAGTATTATACAATAGTCTCTGTAGATTTGTGCTTAGATGTCCCTATAAAACCCATCACTGTCTGTTATATGAGTCCTTGAACTGGCTGGCCCCCAAGTCAAGAAGGCAACTCCACTGGTCACTGTTTATTTTTAAGTGTATTCATTTCAATTTCCCTTCATATCTGAAACATTACCTAATTCCCTTTAGTTCACAGTACAGCTTAAGGCATACGGATCATCCCTTCTTCCTTACACCCAGAGTCAACAAAGAAATAGGTCGTCGTGCATTTAAATTTAAAGCTCCAACAGACTGGAACAATCTTCCCCGTTCACTCAGGTCTATTACCTCTTTCCATATCTTCAAATCATCTCTTCTTACTCATCTTCAAACATCCTGCTCCTGTTTCTGATCTCTCTCTCTTTTATTTTTTATTTATTTTTATTTATTTAGTTATTTTTCTTCTCTCCTCTCCCTTATGCTGTTTATTATATGTACTGTATGTGCATTCATGTCATCTTGCAGTTGTATTTTCACAAATGGTTCACTGATTGTTTCTGATTATGGTATGGGCTGGAAGGGGAGTGACTATGGGAGCAAAGTTTGAGTGTACGTGTGTATGAGTGTGGTTGTCTCTGCGTCTAATTGTCTTGTATAGTCTTGTGTTGTATTTACCTTTATTATGATTTCCTACTATGATGTCGTTTTTGTGTTTCGTTTTGTTTTGTATCATCTGTAAGGACCCCCTCGAAAATGAGATGGGACATCTCATGGGGCTATCCTTGTAAATAAAGAATAAAAGAATAAATAATAAAAAGTGATCTGAGCAGACAGAAATGCTAACATGCAAAAATGTCTTAGCATAAACTGTTCATAAAAAAGCTCTATCAAATACAACAAACAGAAAATGAAATTTTGAAGGGAAATATACAGAAATAAATTACAAGACAAAAGAAAAGAAAATATTCAGGCTGCATCTGGTCACCTCACTGGGTCTGGCCACAGCACCTCATCAACATCAGTGAGGGAAGAATCCCTGAAGCCCTGGACAGCACCCACATCAACATCATCACATGCCTCTTCCATTGCCTGTTGAAGACCCATGTGCACATAGGGCTGATGGTCATACACCTTCCTCCACCATGCAGAGAAAAACTCAATTGGACTGAGAAATGCAGAGTAGGGTGGAAGGTACTGAACAAGAAATTATGGGTGGTCAAAAAAACAGTTTTGGATCAAGGCTGTACAATGGAAGCTGACATTTTCCCGTACTATCACATATCAGTGCTGCTCTGCATCGTCCATAAGGTCCACCAGTATCACAATGTGTAGCAGTCTGTCCAAAAATATGAGAATGTGGCCTGTGTTGTATCGACCAAGGTTGGCATGGTAATGGAGGACACCATCTACAATGGCTCTGTGAACAATGCGTCCAAGAAGTGATGGACACAATGTGATTGGTGGAATCCTGAATTATGCAGAGTGAATGGTATTCTGGTTACTTACCTGTGCTCAAGCCTCAATGTCTGGATGACAGAGGCTACAGTAAATCAGCTGATGTTGGGCTGGATCCTCTGTCCAGTCTCTCTCAATGTCAACCTATGGTTAATAACATGGTCAACTAACGTTGCCCCGATTTCATCTGAAAGCTGTGCCCTTTTTTGTCCTCCCCCTCCAGCTCTACCCCTACCTCCCACTCTCACCCTCCCTCCACTTCTTCCTCTCGCTGCTGCTTCCACTGTTGTTGTGAAAATGTGTCTTTTTTTACAGTGCTTGCATCCTGATTGATGAGTCAATAATTAAGCAGTTAGGTGTTTGGCCAACTGGTCCATAGGTTTAGCATTTTGAATAGCAGTGTTTTGAAATGGCAAACAAATGACTTTCTGTCAGTTTCCTTTGTTTTACATAGTGAGCTGTGTGCAGTGCATAGCAAAAAGTGTCATGTTGAATTGCAATTTGTCTGCAAAGGTGAAAATGTGTTTAGAGTTTTGGAGACGTGAGCCGAGGTTTTGCTGTCAGTTTCAATCATTTTGGTAGATGTGAAATTAATTATAGTTGAGAATGATCTATTCAGCACCACATGATAATGATGGCAGATTAATCACATGAGAGAAAAACATCCTGAAAGTATAACAATTGTTCTGTATCTGTAACAATATGTATATTTATTTCTGTCAGCAGACTTATGTCAAAGAAGTGAATGAGTTACCATCCGTGCTAAGTAGCACACTTATATCAGCCTTTTCCATTATTCATGCCATTAGCTGCAGCAACATTCAGCCTGATGTGACTCAGACTGAACAGTCTAATAGAGGAGCAGAGAAGAGGAAGTTTCACTTCCCTTCAGCAAACTCACCTCACAGGATTTCCTACACATTCATAATACTTCAATACTAGTACCACTAATGACAACCACTGACTGACTGACTGACTGATAAAATGGATGACCAAGTCAAACGATTGGTCAGTTGAATGCCACGTGACAAGTTAGAGTTTCCTCCTTAGCCATTGCTCTGCTCTTTCAAAATGAATTGGAAAACAGTTTCTATTAGGGGGCGTTCATAGTCTGCAACATTGACAACTTAGAGCATTTCGTGCTACATTTAGAGACTTTTTTTTTCAAAAACGAACGTAATGACAAGTCTAGTGACTTTTTGGACAAACTTTGGCTACTAAGCAGGGTCGACAGTCGACTGCCCTCTCTCTCTCTCTCTCTCTCTCCATATATATATATATATCATCATTGTTTTTGCAGCGGAGCACTATATATGCTGCTCCTACATCTATATCTATATCTCCTAGTAGCAGTTTGTTACCCAGACAGAGGCAGTGCTCCACTGCAAGAACAATGATCAGAAATGGGGATTTACAGTATGCATGTGTGCGTGAATGGGTGAATGTGGCTTGTTGAGTGGTTGATAAGACTAGAAAAGCTCTATGTAAGTGCAATTGTTTACTATTTACCCACCCGTAACATAATATGTTTCCATTGTCACAGATGATGCCATTTTCACATTGTTCTAGACCTCCTTTGGCGACTAGTTCCTGGAAGTGAATTTGGGCACTGCTCAGGAGATGATAAGAAATCCAAGTTCAAGGTACCTGAACACTTAGTCTGCACCTGCACCTCCCCACAGTCTGAAAGATCCACATCGCATCATGTACAAACACAAATAATTTAATGGTGCTGATGTTTAAAAATCATTGCACCTGCTGTCTGTGTCAAGACACTGACCTTCCAAACAGCATGTAACAGTGCTGTGGTAGTCTGTTGCCTTTAAAATGACGTACATGTGAAATGTGGTGTGCTGTGAAAACATGAGGCAGAAAACAGAGCTTTCTCAAGGTTCAGGTTGTGAAGCCACAAAACACAGGATCAGTTTTGTGACCAGTTACATTAACATTTACTCATTTGTCAGAAGCTTTTATCCAAAGTGAGGGACATCACTAAAGTTTCAGTGCAGCAGGAGTCCATACAGAAATGTAATATACAGTATGACATATACAGTATGTCTCTATACCAAGACTGATGTATGTTATATGTAATATATGTAAGTTTATTAAAACATACATATATATACACACGCTTAAATATGTTTTTCTTTGAATTTCTGATTAATTTCATTACGTCTACCTTCTCATTATGGGAAAGTGCTCTCAGACTTTTTGACCCTACTTCATATAATATCAACTTATACTGAAAGGCTGTGGGATGGATATATATTCATGTAACATATAACTACAATATAAGCATACATACTTAAACATACATATTACATATTACATATAGTCATAGGCTATATACTGTATACTGTATATATAGCCTATGTTTTATGTTGCTATGTTCTCTACATTCATTCCTGTTCTAGTTCTCAAAATATAGTCCTTAGATGTCCATACAGTGTACTGAACCACATAAAATACAATAGTTGATGAGTTATGAAATTTACTTCCTTGTTAAATCCGGCCTGGCAACTTTAGCTCACTGATGTCACTTTACATGATTTATCATTTGACCTTCTAATGTTCAGTGTCAAAAAAAATCAGAAAGAAGAAAGAAACACAAAATGCAAGAGTAAAAGACCCAGGTCTGTAAGGAGCCTGAATTCTTCTGTTTGAAAGCAGGAGACTGAAATGGACGACTCCTATTGGCTGGTCTTTTTATACCTGTGGACTCTACTTGTTGGATGTTTATAGTTGTGATGTGATTGTTGTTTTTAACAAGAGTCATGGGTGTTGGTCTCTGTTGGCCTGAAGCTACAGCACATAGTTCTGCTTTGTTGTCATAATGAGTGACGTCTTCCTGTTGGTTCTGATGGTGCTCCTCTGCTCGGCGCTGCTTCTCCCCTCAAATCTTTCTGCGTGTGTCGTGACCTGCGTGGTGCTGAACATCCTCCTCAGGCTCATCTGGGCCCGGAAGGCCTTGCAGAAGAGGAAATAGATGAGTGGGTCCAGGCAGACGTTGAGAACAGACACCATGACAGTCAGCTCCTTCAGGTAGAAGAACGCTTGGCTCCACGAGCACTGCCTCTTCAAGAAGGCGTAGGGAAGACGGACCAGGTGGTAAGGAACAAAGCAAATGCAGAAGACACTGACTAGCACCAACATGTTCCTGCGGGACTTGGCGAGTTTCTTGGAGCTGGAGGATGCCAGCTGCCTCTGCTGTGCCAGCGACAGCCTGTGGGAGGTGCTGTAGTAGAAGAAGACCAGGGAGATGAGAACGAGCAGGAAGATGACGGCAGAGCAGGTGTGGAAGACTTTGTAAAGCACCCTGAGCAGTTGGCTGTGTAGGACGTCACAGCTCACTGTCATGGGGACAGACTGTAATGATTCCTGTGTGAGCAGCGACAGGAGGACGTATGTCATCATCATGGCCAGGAGAAGAACCCAGGTTACCGTGGAAATGACATGAGTGGCTCGTACCGTCTGCAGGATGTGAGTTCCTAAAGGATGGACAATCTTCAAATACCTGCAGAGGAGAGGCAGGTGTCAGGACATGAGTCATAACCAACCAAATCTTCAAAACCACGTTATGTTCAATGACAATGAGCTTTTAAAAGATTATTAAATTGTCTTGGTTTCTGCATCAATGGTATAGTACAGTTTGGGGAGAGACCAAACTGATCGTCACACCCTTATATCAGTAAAGTGAAGTCAAGGGTAGAAGCTCAAGAGGAAGTTAAAGGGGACCACAGCCTTGAAACCACATATCATGTTCTGAAATAGTTCTTACTGTCAGACTGATGTAAACTCAGACCCCCAGCTTTGCACACCAGCTGATAGCTGTTCAAATGGAGGTGATTAAAGTTTCACATCATGAAACACCAACTGGAAACATGCTGGACTTTCCGCTGAGAACACGAACACATCTCTCACTCTGGTTATATAAGGACCCAATGGCTTGTAGTATCGGCCCTGCTACCCCGTATTCCCGCAGTGACTAAATCCTGCATGTCTGGTTGCAAGGTTCTTTTAAGACTTGTGACTAATTTATGCACAAGAACAGTGCTTGCTGTTTCTCAGCCAAAATTCACACCAGACCAAGCTTTGTCTGGCCACTTCACCATACAGTAGACAGAGGTCAAATTAAAGTCTGTGTGACAGAGAACAGTAAAGACTCTGTAAAGACTCTGCAGTGGTTACATTAGAACCAATAACTAGTTATGTCAGGAACATTATTAATGTAATACAAATGCTGCTGACTATGGTTGTGGTTCATGAGTTCCACACTGGTTGGTGCACTGACAGTAAAATAAAAAACAGTGATTAAATCTTGTTGGTGGTTCTGCCCTCATTGAATACAGCAGCATATCAAGTTGTATGTCTTCTTTTCATCCATTTAGTTTCTACCATGTCAGTCTCACTGTGTTGGAAGTCCAGCTGTTTGCTATGATGTTCCCATATTATCTCACTCTGCATCTCACAACTACAACAATGACTCGTCAAATGATAAGACTGTGAGATTATCATGTTGCTCCATGTCTGCTGGATGGCGTCTCTTTACTAACACATCAGCCATCATATGTCTATGTTCTGTGTTTATAAGCTTGTTGTGGATTTCTTCAGTCACATAGAGGCCAAAACATCCAATAATTTATCCAATAAATTATTGTCATTTAATTTCCACCTCTATTTGGTCATGTTTGAAAATTGTTTTAATTCTATTTAATTTTGATATTTCATTCTTTTCTCAACATGCATCTGAACAACACACTGGCTGAAACAATGATCTACTGAAGAGTGGATGAACACTAGTGGGAGTGAGTCATTAGGAAACACAAGAAACATAAGGAATAAACTGGAGGCACTGAGGTTAAACTCTAACACTAAAGGTTTGAAGCTCTGTCTCTGTGGAACTCTGCAGCGTGTGTGTTGTCTGTATCTTTATCATGTCAAACCACATCCTTTATGCTTTTCAAGCACATGTGATCATAACAATCTCACATCCTTTTAATGATATGAAACCTGCTCAGAGCAGCAGCTCATATTTATAGTCTGTTCACGTTCCCAGTTCATTGTCTTCTGATCTTATCCAGGTTCATCAGGTTGGCCACTAAACATAGTCTGAAGCTTCTGAACTGTAATCTGTGTGAGTTCTGTCTCGCCACCTGTTTTGATAAAACCATGTTTTATGAGTATTTCTACAAAATTCTCACTGAAATCTGCTCTGAAATACAGATAAGGATCCTAGTATTTATGTACCTGTACTGACGTCTATCATATGTTACTGAGACAGGACCTGTAGTGATAAATCTGCAGAGCAGTGTTCAACAGGTGGAGCATCGAGTGCATAAAATCACCTGAATATTACAACAAAACATCTGCCAACAATACTCCTTCTGTGCTGAAACAACACACAGAAATGGCTGCATGTGACAGATTATCTTTACCTGCTCCATCTAGTTGAATTATCTCAGGTGCCATGTAATAAGAGTAATTTTTTTTAAATCATGCAAAATCCTACACACTCAGACATGAACTCCTCCTCACTCTGAGTGAATTCATAGTTAAACAAACACTTTTAATGTTTGATAACAAAGTTTGAGAATTTAAAGAGACAAAGAGTCAAGTCAACATCTAAAAATCAGGAAACATTTAACTGGAATAAACCTTTCATGACATTGAATTTAGAAACCAACTGGAGCCTCGACAATTTTCTCTCCAACCTCTAACTTTATTTCATTGATGTATCTCAGTCAGGAGCCAGAAAATGAGACAATGTTTTTACTGCTCTATCTTCAGCTGCCTGCTACAGTGTCTTTCCTGATTCTACCACTGATGGGCAACAACAACAATTCAGACATTTTCAAACTACTTTCTGTGTCTGTGTCACTTTTTCTATTTCGCCAGGCGTACTTGCACCTTGGCATATTGCTATTATAATGTTGCCATGTTTCATAGAGTTAGATTCTATTTGTGGTCAGTTGATCACATATTGTGACTGACCAGTGAGCCCAGTCCTGTCCAGTGAGCCCAGCCCTGACCAGTGAGCCCAGTCTTGATCAGTAATTCCAGTCCTGTCCAGTGAGCTCAGTCCTGTCCAGTGAGTCCTGACCAATGAGTTCAGTCCTGTCCAGTGATCCCAGTCCTGACCAGTGAGTCCAGTCCTGACACGTGCACACAGCAGCTCTATGCACTCTGAGGGGCAAAGAAGAGCTGAGCGAATCAACGCGCTGCACACAGCTCTACTGTTGAGTAGTGGCAAAAATCTAAACGTTAGACATCATTCATGTTATGTGATGAAAAGTGTGAATGTATGGTAAAGTGGTGGGAGTCTTGGTGATGAATGGGAAACACTGTGGCACACTCTGCTTGTGTGTAACAGGCTCTGTCTATGTAGGAGCATATCACTCTCTTGATAATTCACCCTTAAAATAACAGTGAAATGCTGTGTCATGACTTCAGAGCAGGTTTTTGTTGGTCAATTACTTTATTAACAACATCTGTCTGCACAACTGCTTCAGTTAAATTCACTGAAATTCAAGTTTTTTTCTTTTCTGTTATTTCACTGTTTTACTGTTTGAAATCTTGATTCTTGAGGTTTTTTTTCTCACTGAAGGAAAATAAAGTGTCTTCTTCATATTAAGCATTTTGTTGAATTACTCTGCACAGAGCTTTGAGGTTTTCAAACTGTTGAAGACAAATTGAGGATGTGGCCCCTTAACCAACCAGCTGAGCAGCAACACTGAGTTAAAGTATCAATCCTTCTCAACAAACACATGTGGCACAATGACCTCACTAAACCTCGACTGATGATTCAAAGAAACATTAAACCACATTTAGCTTCTTTGAAATTACTTCACCACTTGGTTTTGACTAAGTTGACTCCAAACACCAAACGCCCACTGTTTATACTAAAGACGCATTTACTGACTGTTACAGATATACACGTATAAGTTCAGGAGTGCAGGGTCACTGTTCTCACAGTGTTCTGTAACCAGATCAAACATGTGACCAGTCAAAGAGAAGCTGTTCTATCCAGCCCAGGCTTACCTGTTGGCTGCGATGTAACCCATGAACAGGATGCTGGCGTACATGTTGAGGTAAAAGGCGGAGGCACCAAAGTTGCAGTAGACTAGGCGGACAGGGACAGAGTTGCTGGCTAAGTTGATGATTCGTATGGGGAGGCAGAGGCTGATGAGGAAGTCGGCAGCCGCCAGGTTCTTCAGGTAGATGGTCACGCTGCTGGACGTCTGCTGCTGAGCACGGCAGAAGTAGACCTTCAGAGTGAAGCCGTTCAGCAGCAGACCCACCTGCACAGGGAACAGGACCTGGATTTTAAACATTCACAGGTAGACAGAGAGAGAGGGGGGGAGGCAGGGGGTCTGAATATGTGAGACTCACCAGAAACACCAGGCTGTAGAACAGCATGAGGAAAAGATGGGCCCCCTGTGTTTCCACCGGACCACAGTGAGTCGAACTGGTGGCGTTCTTGTTGGTAACTGAGGACTGGTTGAAGAACAGGGTCTCTCCCACCCCTCCAAGGTCACTCATGTTTCTGGATGTTCTGAGAAAAGAGGTGAATCAGAGCAAATGATCTTTTGAAAATGGTTTAAACATTAAGAGTCTGCAGAGAGGAAGTGGTGACAGCTGAAAGGAAACTGACAGATCACCACAGCAGCACAGAAAAACCTCTGAAGAGCAAGAACACTGAAAAAACTTGCTCAGCGACAGCTGTCTGAGTTACATCATGTCTGTCTGCCACAGACAGGATGAACCAAAGCTCAGGAGGCTGAGGTCGGACTCAGCAATGCTGCTTGACCCGGTTCTCAGCCCAGATCTTGGTCTGCAAAACATGTTTATTTAGAGGAAACAGTGGGATGTTGCTGATGATCATTTGAGGTGTAATTATAAATCATGGTCAACAGTTATAGTGATGTGAAAATGAAACAATATGCACGGTGGAGGGTACAACATGTCCTCAACTGAATCCGATCAATGAGCCATTTCAAAGGGAGGACAGGGTTTTGTTTACATGAACATACAAATTATTAAACTACTCAGGAAGTTTCAGACTGACATGTTCAATCTGCTCCCTCCCTGCCTGAAGGTGGTTCTGTTCACCTGTCGTACGTGGAGTTGTCTGCTGATTGGACAGGATACTGATGGCGTCCACTTTAACATGGTACGTGTCAATGCCAGCTGCACTTGGCTTTTGTCCTGGCTCCCCAACCAGACCATGCAGCCAAGCAATCGCTGATTTAGAGTCAGATAGACTGATTGATTAAACTGATCTTTGTTGAATATAAAATAAATATTCCACTGTAGGGGTGAGATGTCTTTTTGTTGAAACATCTTTTCTCATGGTTATGTTAGGGAGGCAGAGATGCCTGTATTTGATTTAGTGTACTTTTTGTTTGTGTAGGTAAGTTAGTGAACACTGTTTTTGTTTTTTTTTGTATTGTTTATTTTGGTTGTGCTCACCCTGACGTCTATTTTGACCATTGTTGATAAATCCATCGGTTGTGTTTGGACGACAGTCTGCTGTGGCCCTGACGGTCCTCGGAGTCAAAGGTTTAGACTGTGACCGCAGAGATCAGGTCCAGACAACAGCAGCTCTTTCACAGATAGATAGATAGATACTTTATTTATCCCCTAGGGGAAATTCGTGATTCATGATTGGTTCAGGTCAGTGAAAGATGGTGGTTTAGGTTAAATGTAAATGAAGGAGATAAAACCAGACCAGGGGCCAGATGCATAAAGCTCTGTGTAGATTCATAACTAAAACTATGTGATGCACAAAACCAGAAATATTCATACACATTCTTGTCATCAGATTTAAAAAGCTGTGCGTTCGCATAGTTCTGCTTTATAACTCTCACTCATGGAGAAATTGGGCGCATGTGCCTAATTTCCACTCCCACAATTAACCATAAATGGATGAAGACACTCCTTTAATCCATCAGTTTGTATAAAAACACTGTCTGTGCCACAAGTGATCATATTCACATGGTCAAAGGATTATGTGAGGTGCCACATTCCGTGTTTATAGAAACCAATTATGTGTGGAACATGGCGTACGCATGTTTTGTGTGTGTTTGCATTTGGTCCCTGGATCTTTCTCTGACTTGAACCAGGATCTGTGAGGGTCTGAATAGAACGGTTTAATGAAGCTGGAGTCACTACAGGAGGATGTTGTGCTGCATCAGATATTTTAGAGGAAAACAAACATATCCTGCTCTATGGTCACTGAAATTCATTTGAGACCAAACAAGCAAATTTAAAATTTACAAGAGAAAAACTCTTTTACAATATCCTGTATATGGTGGTTCTGGAAATTTTTTAACTATTTCAACTCTGTGACATTACTTTGCTCAGATCACATTTTTCCTCAGTCTTCCACTGATTTATACTTGTACAACAACAGATAGCAAAAGTTGATCAATGTTCAAATTTATTGTTATGAGATTCTTATTTTACAGATTTAAAAAAATGTTGTACAGGATTTTAATGTTGTTTTCCTGCCTGTCTGAAATTTCCCCCTCATGGCCAGTCATTCACAATCATTGAAAATGTTCATTCTGTAGGAAACAAAAAGGGTAAAGGTTTTTTCAGAGGTGTTTAACTGTGTATTTGCGACCACACACACACACACACACACACATATATATATATATATATATATATACATATATATTTATAGTTCAAGTTAAGGAGTACAGACATAGATCATTTTTCCTAGTTCAGTTTCGAAGGCATTTTGTGAAAAACATGTTCAGATTGACACCACTCTCATGTCTGATGTTACATATAAGGCAACAGTCAACAGACAGTTAGCTTAGCACAAACAAAGGGGAACAGCTGGACTCTGTCCAACAGTGAAAAAACTCCCATATAATCACTTCTGAATCATTAATGAACACTTCGTTTTTTTGTACGAATCAAACAAACAAGATATAACATGATAATCAGTTAACAGAGCCAGGCTAACAATTTCCCCTGTTTGCAGTCTTTATGCTAAACTAAGCTAAGCTAAAAAGCTGCTGGCTGTAATTTCATATTTACCAACATGAGAGTGGTTGCAAATGAGTATGTAATATGTTTGATTTAGGTCATGTTCAGCACTAAGCCTCGTCATCCAGGAACTACTCTCAATGAAAATAAACTTACACAACAAATCAATAAGACTATTTCTGAATATCTCTGTAAATTAACATTTCACAGTAATTCCAATTCAGATTTTTTGTTTTTATTGTTGTTGTTGTTTTTGTTTCCTTAAATTTGAACTCAAGCCTGAGAAAAATGCACAATTTGAAAATAAGTAAATAATTGTAAATATTTGTAATATTTTCTGATCCTCTGACATCACTGATGTTCAGTGGTGAAAAGTTAATTTATTCAAGTTCTACATTTAAGTTAAGTGTCAACGGACTTCACTACATTTTCAAACAGTAACAGTGAAAAGTTTGTTTTTATATAGTTCTAAAAAATGTATTGTAAGTACATGAAGCTGATGATATTTTTCAAGTAAGATTTTAATACAGGACTTTGAACTTTCCTAGAGTATTTTTACATTGTTGTATTGGTACTTGTATTGGTAGTAAACCACAGCAAATAAACAGATGAGTTGAAAAACACAAAAATGCAGTTTCTCCATCTTTAACAGCTATAATATGTGTGAATATATCTGTACTTCACAGTATCTACAGTCCAGGAATATGACAAATATTTAGTATTAGTGCTATAGAATGAGGGCAGAGTCACCTGCAGCACTCACCTGTCTGCGTGTCTGTCAGTGTGCATCTGGTGGGAGAAACTATTTGACTTCCTCCTGCTCAGCGATCGCATCAGGAAGGACTGAGGGGGAGGTTGCAGGAAAAAAAATGATGTGGTTATAACTGTGCTGTCACTGTTTAGTGCTGCAGCTCATTTGCAAGTCATGAAAACACATACAGTAGGCAGATTTTTCTGTGTAGTTGTGATTAACTGGAAAACACCTTTTAATCTGATTGTGTCATACTGTTTTTCTCAAATGTCTAAAAAGAGGAAAAGCCTCTAAATTAAATGTGTGAGTTTGTGTCTATCACTGTCCGAATCATGCAAAGTCAAAGTTATAGGACCTAAAAGAGGTTAAAAAGCTTCTGTGCTGCATTAACCAGTACAGAATCTTAGAGGCTACTGCTCCCAGCCATGAAAGAGAAAGAGTACAGCATGTGAACTAACCCTCTGGTAAAATGGTGTATTTTTTACACTTTGTTTTTTAACAGCTTAGATATAATGAATTATTCAGTGATCTTTAGTGGTGCTGGAAGGTGGATTTTGTTACTTCTGTTTCCCCGTTTCCAGTCTTTATGCAAAGCTAAGCTAAGAAGTTGCATCACAGGACACCCCGGTGGCTCACCTGGTAGAATGCGTACCACATAGGCTTAGTCCTAACCACAGCAACCATGGGTTTGAATCTGACTCATGGCCCTCTCCTGCATGTCATCACCTGTGTCTCTTCCCAACCTTCCTGTCTCTATCACAATAAAGGCAAAAATGCCCCCCCCCAAACAAAAAAACTTTAGTTCATGGTTTCATATTCACTGCAGAGACGAGAGTGGTATCAGTCTGAACATCCAAGTTTCAGAAAGAAAGAGAATATGCAGTTTTCCAAAAAAATTTGAACTATTTCTTTTAATGTAACGGCAACCTGTTTGGACTGGCCTGTGTTGGCTGGACAACAGCAGACCCAGCTCTATAAACTGACTGACTGACTGACTGACTAAGTTGTGTGATTAAGTTACACCATTTGTAAGATGAATGCCATGTGACTGAGTCATGAAGATACACCATTGGCTATTGCTCTTTCAAAATGAGGTTCTATTAGGGGTCGTTCACAGTCTGCAGTTGTTGGGACTCATTCAAGAGACCAGATGTTTCTTTGCTCCACAGACAAAGGAACTCACCTCCCCATAGTTCCTCACTGGGGACAACCCTCCCCCAGGGACCTCACTTACCAGTCAGTGTTGGTCGGTGTGACATGTGACCCCCCAGGGAGTCACCAATCAAAACCAGATCTCCTTATTTGTTCTCCCCTCTCTTCTCAGCTTGCTCTGGAGAGCAGCTCCTGCTCTTCCCTCTCGGCTGTACAAAGGGCAACAAGGTCCTAGTGTAGGTCAGCCCTGCTACCTGAGAAACCAGCTCTCTTGCCAGCCTGCTCACAACAGCTTGCAAACACTCTTCTCCTCAACAGCAGCCACCTGCTTCGGATTAACTGAGAGTAAACCAAGTTCACTTCAGAATCAGCAGCTACAACACAAGGTCAGCCAGCTGATTTTCCAAGCAATCTGAGTCAAAGCAGAGTTAGCAAGGAACAGCTAACTCTGTGAGGAGAACAAAGGAGATAACAGCAGAAGCCACACAGCCAGATAGGACTTTACCCAACCAGGAAGCCTCCCCAATTCACTGGACTTTACAACAACACTGGAAAGGACCTCTTTGTTTTGTTCCAAGGACTGAGTAATGTTAACTGACTGGGCCTAACCTCTCCTAGCACAGCATAGCACAGCACTACTAAGCAGC